ATTAAGAATACCACATGTATTCAGTTATTTCGCGTGAATATATAGTATTTCTTTATCAGAAATATTACGATAAGCATCTGGCGCTTAAAAAATAAACGTTTTATAGAGAAAGAAACGAAAAAAAAAAAAAATAGAAGTATTTTTGGACAAAAATCTTTCTAATTATTACACGACATCAATATTAATTTTTGATATTTTACAAGTGGGATCATATGTTTCAATGATTCGAATCTATTATTGCTTAAAAATATATAGGACATTTGTTTGAATATAGTCAGTCTATCTAACATCCTAAATTTGATACTTAAATGATTTATATTAATTAAATAACTATTCAAAGAAGTAAACTAACCTTGAATATAATCACATATAGTGATGTTTGATTGAAAAAAAATATAAAATGTAGGCTTCGTTTGCTAAATATTATATGTACCAAGAGGCAAAATTTATTTTCTTCTGATTCCAGTTTTTTTTTGCCTGAGTCATACAAATGTTTTTTTTTTACTTTTCTTTTTTACATATTGATCTTCGCTTTTATTGAATATCAGCAATATGTCACAAAATAACAGAACTATACTATTTTTTACTAGACTCTTCAAAATTTAGTATTAAAAAAAAGAGAAAAAAAAAATGAAATCCTATATTTGCTTTCATTTTTTTTCAATAGCACAATCATCAATACCTGATTGTTTTTGTATTGTGTGCCTAAATGAGAAACTATGCTTCGTCCGTTGTTGTCACTTATGGATGGGCCCGAGCACACTTGCTTATCAATGAATGGGAAGGTAGATGAATAGAAATGAAAACAAGACTAAATGACAATATTGTTGTTTTCTCCTACCTACGATTTATACTCATAAAAATGATGAAAATAAAACAGGGTTAAAGAACAGCAAGGCAAGTGCGCGCATAGAAGTACGAGAAAAAGTTATTCCTTTGACTCATCAGTGTGTTTTTTTCTTTTCCGCCCCATCTGTCTTTAGCCCACACTAATATTTTACATTTTTTTTGCTCAACCCCCTTCCCACCTTCTCAATCATTTTTTTTTCTTACACCTGTTACAATTATTTCATGTAATATATATCTCATTATAAAGCTTACATTTTGTCATAATATTGGGCAAACATGTCGCATATATTACTTGCAACTTAATGCCTTCCACACTACTTGTTTTTTTTTTAAAAGTCATGCTAACCTAACAAAAACAAACGAAATGAACTATCGAAGTTTCACAAGACAAACATAATAATAAATATCTTATATTTACTTATGATATATAAAATTTGATAAAACCCTGATTTATGGATGCTATACAAAAATATTCATTTATGTATTCATTAAATAGGCATCATACTCTTTAATTTCAATAAAGCTAATTACATAGACATGTATAATATATTCTTTATTGAAGTAGATTTTTCAAATATGGTTGCTATAGGAACATTTTCTCAATTTAATATTCTTTTCTTAAAATAACGCTAGTCATAAACGGTTTTTTTTTCTTGTCCTCTTTTAATGCAAAGTAAAAATCGATCGTTTTATTTTCATTTTTCTTTTCTCACTCAACGATAGTAACCATGATCATCATCATCATAAAGAAAAAAAAAAGAAATGGAGTGCTTCTATGTATGCTTTTTTAAACGTATCTCAATGTTTTGTTGCTGCAATTGATGTTGTTGTTGTTATTACTCTTCGAAACGACATGTGTTTAAAAAGAAAAACGAGAGAATCAATATAAAAAAGGAAATAATTGAAGACTAGAGTCATAGAGTTTTTGTGCTTGAATCTATAGAGTAAAAAAAAACATATATATATATATAAGTTCATTAATGTGAACATTATTATCATGACTCCACAACAGTCAAATGAAGAAAAAGTAACATTTATTTTATTATTTTCTCGAAATCAACCATCATGTGATATACCATATTTAATGGCACATCGAGAAGAACGTGTTTGTCCGATGTTATTAACAGCAACTTTTTATTTTATGCGTGATCTTGTTGATTACAGGTAGAAAAAATTTGATGAACTATTGTGTTGTTTTTTGTTTTTTTTTTTAATTAAAATAATTGCGTTTTATTTTATATATCAGAGCTATATCTTTTGAAAATTCAGTTTATATTATCGGAGGTCGTTATGCATCAACAGGTCGTCTTTCATGTGCTGTTTTTAAATATGATGCTGGAACTGATTTTTGGCGAACATGTGATTCAATGAAAGCTCCACGGTACTAAAAGTTTTCTTTTTTTTTAGTTTATTTTCTTATCATTGTATTTTTCTTCTTAGAATTAATTTTTCTGTAAGCATTTTTGATTCAAAAATATATGTACTTGGTGGAGAAGGTCTTAAAGGTGCGATTATACAAACAGTTGAAGCTTATGATCCAACAATTGATCGATGGAAAGAAGTAGGTACATTACCAAAACCAAGACGAAATCATGCAAGTTATACAATCAATGGAAAATTATGGTCATGTGGTGGTGTAAGTTCATTACTTGAAGCTCAATCGACGAATGAACTAGTGTTAGAAAAATAAATTGTTTTAATTTCATTTTTTTTTTCAATTCAATCTTTCTTTTTAGTATTATTGATCCACGTCCAAATGAATGGAAACGTTCATTAACAACTTTTACATTACCTGATCCACGTCAACAACATTGTTTAACTTTTATAAACAATAATGTATTACTATTTGGTGGTTAGAGAAAATAAATTCTAATCAATATCAATTTCTTTTCTTTTTTTTTTTTTTCTAAATATAGGATGTCAAAAGAATGGTGAAGAAGTTCAAAATATTCATAAAATTGCTCGTATTAGTAATCTATCATCAGAAAGCACACCAATCTGGGAAGAAATTAGCAATCAATTGCAACATCCACGTACAGACTGTGGTTATTTTCAATTAGGTAAAAAAGTAAAAATTTCTATGTTGACTAATGTACTTTAATCATACTTCTCTTTTGCTATAGGGAAAAAAAAGAAAGACGTCATATATGACGAAGGTGTTTTATTTTATGTGAGTGGGGAAAAAAAATAGATTCATGATATTGTATTTTTTCTCGCTTGAATTAATTAAGAAATGGTCTAATTATGTTTAATAAAAATTTAATATCCCTATCAACATTAAAAAGAATGTGGGTGTTATCTTTCAATAACTCGACCATATGAATAATTAACGACCTACGACTTTAAACAATCGAAAGAAAAGAACTTCAGACGTCTTTTTGTCTGATACTATATAAAACAAAATTATTTTAAATTCTATCATATTCAAGAGAATTCAACATTATTTGTCTGAATAGATATATGATTGTGTTTGCTCGACATCAAGATATGAGAAGATAACCACCTGATTCATGTCATGAGCTACAGACGTCAAGCACATGTCAGAATCAAAATTGCGTCGAAAACAAATCCTATTTTTACGTAGTTTTTTTTTCACATATTTTATGAAGATGATGAATTTTAAAATTATTTTATCTTATATATTATCACAAGAAAAAGACACTCGAATTTCTTCTCTGTTGATTGCTGGAAGCTACAACTACTTAGCTATTATCATTATTAAGTTTTTCAGAGATTATATCCACTTACCGTTAATTCTAACATGAACATACTCTTATATTCTTGTAATAAAAAAATTTTATGTGTCATAGTTAGAAAAAAAATTTCAATTATGCATTTTTATTTGACTTATCTTTCTGTAATATAAAGATATTAAATAGTTAAGATAATATAAGTCATATTCAAATCAAAATAAGCATCATAGTTTTTTACTTTTAACACGTGACGAATCATAAATATGCAATATGTATTTTAATTTTAATATGAAGTATGCTCTTTTCTTTTTGTTTTTTTTTACTCAAAATAACGTTGAAAACAATTTCTCAACGTTTCAAATGATATGACGATGAATATTTTCACACAATAGGAAAGGATATTAATTAGTACCGAATCTTCGAAATAAATTTTACCAGATGCTGTTTTTTCACATAAGTATTAAGTAGGGTACAATGATTCTTAAAATATAGGATTCAATAGGCGTTATCAATGAGGGTCATATAAGTGATATATAGGAAGTCAAAAACAATGATGATAAGGAAAAAAAAATGTTTTTGCGCTCTTTGAAGTTGCATTTCGGCAGTCAAATTTGTGATTTTAGTACAAAGATTGACACCTGTGGACTTTAGTCCAGACGTTTAAATGACAAATTGTTATAGTTAGTAAATATAATTAGTCACAGTGAAATCATTTGAAGTTGCTATCAAAGAACTTTGCATTTGTCTTCAAATAATTTTTCATCTACAAAATGACTTATCATGACTATTACAATGCTTAATACAAAAAGTATACAGATAATATTTATGGCATATACTTGCACAGATATATTTATTATGACTTTAAAAGATTCAATAAGATATTTTAAAAACGTTACTATCGACCTCTTGATAAAATGAATTAGAAAATCATATAAAAAAAAAATCTTTCGAATTTAACAATTATTTCTTTTAATAAACAATATGAAATATATAGACACTTCTATCAATTTTGTCTATCTTGCTTTCTTGTTTTTTTTTTTAGGTACTTCATTATATATTGTTGGTGGTTATGATAGTGAAACAGGTCATCCAACTAAAATGATGGAACGTATTGATTTAACTGATAATTCTCAAATAACAATCGATGAACAATTTGAACTTGATAAAAATTTAGGATCTGTCGATTGTTGTGTTGTTCAAACAAACAAATTTAATGAACATCTTTTACCTTTAGCTTCTTATTTAGATCGTTGGATCATTTGGTAATTTTATTTTTTTGAGAACAAATAAAGTCACATGTCAATTACAAAAAAAAAACAAAAAGGAATCAAGTTTTTCTTGTTTTTTTTTCTCTGATAATACTCAATATCAGACAAATAATTGATGAACCTTGGAATTTTGATTATATATGACAATTAAGTAATAATAAAAATCTAAGTTGTCTAATTGGATCATTGATTAATAAGTTTTTTGTAATTCTTTAGTAAGCCATTCAGGTGATATATCCTCACGAAATTCAATAATCTAAATAAATAAAAATGAAAAATTTGATCATTAATTGTTTATTTAGAAAAATAAAATAATAAAACATACACGAGTAATGCCTGATGCTTCTGAAACTGAATTTGCTGTTGATGCATAAGTAAAACGATTATTTGTTCCACATCCATCAGGTATATATAAAATTAAATTGAGTGGATATTGAACTCGACCATCGGCATGTTTTAATTCATGACTATGTAAAATAAAACGAGGCTCACGACTTGGTAATTCATCGATCAATTCTTCAACACTCATGTCCTATAATTTAAACACAAATTCAGATCTTGTTTCGAATAATACTAAGCAACAAGAAACAATCAAAAGAATACTTAGTCTAACGAGGCAAGATCTTCAACTAATTAATAACTTTTGAATCGGAAATATGTGCATTATGTGGATCCAAATAATTTTCGAATATGCTAAAAAAAGTTCGAGCCCTTAGTTTATTACTATAAATTTACGGTAGTTCTTAAATGATTAGCTTAGTTACCCTCAGAAACATCAGAAAAATTGATTTTCGAATTTAGCTTTGAAACTTTGTATAGAGACAGATCTTAATGAGAGTATTGTGAAAGTTTCAGTCGAACCTGCAGTTATCTATGAGCAATATAAAAGATACACTTTTACCATAACTGTATCTTTAGATAGGGAGAACGACAAGATATGAAACATTCACCAGAAACTATTTTCATTAAGAACTGTCCCTGTGGGAAGTTTGAAGTCGAAATGCGACAATTCGTTTTCCTGATGTTCCTGAGAGCGACCACGGCATTCATTTAAAAGTTACTATAAAAGTACAGTATCTGGCAGCAATAAGCTGAGCCTGATCTATTTTCGAGATACCTATAACTCATTTGGTTCTGTATAATGCATGTGGTATCGACTCAAAAGCACTTTATTAGTTGAGGAATTTTCCTCGTAAGATCAAAACGGAGTAATTCACATGTCCATTTCTATATACTATTTTGTACTAATGTTTATTTCACGTTTTCAAATTCGAAGCATTCTATGTATATACAATTTGAAGAAAGATGAGAGAAAATGTATATTGTTTATTTCATGTTTACGAAATGGGAAGTAGAAAAAAATTAATATATTTAATGAATATTTTGTTATTTCATTGGTTTTTATAAATTGACTTAATGCTTCCTATAGTATACGTAAAAACAAGATTTTCTTTTGTATTTTTGCTCAATAATAATTCTTTAATAAAAAACAAAAAAATCATGTTACAACGATCAGTCAACAGTAATCATTCTATACTCAAAAACTAACATTTCAAATGATCTATTTTGATGTATTAATTAAGAAGAATTCAGATTTTGTATGTATTAACATGAATAAATACTGTTAGGACTATCTTTGTTTCAGATTTTTTAGTGATCCTATGCTCACAGAACAAGTATCAAGTAAAACGCCCATCACTTAATAGACAAAGAGCAGAAGAACAAAGCAAAACAGACATTTTGACTACTTATCAAGATCAATCGAATGACAATAATTTCAGACGAAAAACAATTTGACAGATGCGAATGTTCTCTTGTTAATTGCAAAAAACGGTTGTATGCCGCATCGCTGAAACTCGCGCCGAAACAAACATTATCGAAAAGAAAGATCGCCGACATCAACATCACCAAAATACAGATTGTCGATAAGAAGTTCATCGAAATCCAGATCGACGAATTCATTTCGATCGTCTACTAGCTTATTAAAGTTAGCACTGAATCAAATCAGTGACTAATTTAACGTGGTTCCTAAGTAAAGCTAGTAGCTGACATGGTCAACTTGGTTCCTAACTTGATCATGTCAGTAACTAACTTGATTCCTAACTTAATCAAGTTAGTAACTACCTTGATCCTTAACTTAATCAAGTTAGTAACTACCTTGATTCCTAACTTAATCAAGTTAGTAACTACCTTGATCCCTAACTCAATCAAGTTAGCAACTACCTTGATCCCTAACTTGATTCTTAACTTAATCAAGTTAGTTACTAACTTGATTTCTAACTTATTGTATCACTCACGTAAGTTAGTTGTTAACTGGTCGATTCGATCATTGGCATAAAAATTGCCGATAGCCACATCGCCGACAGTGACACCGCCGAAAATACAAATAGTCGATAGTCACATTACCGAAATGGTACTTTGTCGAAATGCAGATTGCTGAAGTTCGGTGATCTACATTTCGACAATGTCGCTTTCGGCGAAGAGCATACTGACCCAAAAAACAAAATTTGATATTTAAAAAATAATGAAGCTGAATTCCACTCTCATGTAGCTTTTAACAATCGTCACAAAATGAATCTAATTACATTAAAATAAACTACTATCAATTAGTTACTTTAGTAGCTATACTAATGTGACATGTTCATCGAGAATCGATTACAAAAAAAATATTCGGATGTTAAGTTAACAGATTTATTTAATTCTATTAATATTCTAATGACACTCTTCAAAAGATGTAAAAGACGCTTGTTTAATTTTCGCACTTACTTTTAACTCTTTGTCAATCACGACTTGATTTGTTTTCATATCACATCGTACTATAAACAAAAACATATTTTCTCTCTCTTAATTTCGTCAAATATTGTTGTCATCGACTTACATAACATAGCCATAGTTGATTTATTCGATAATCGTCGAAATTTTTTCATTGCGTCAAGAACATCTTTTTCTATTGTACATGGTGACATAGAAGCCATGGTTTATGTTTTTTTTAATCTATAACCTAAAAAGAAAATATACAATTTCTGTTATATATTACTTTGAAATTTTTCTGAAATAAATAAAAAGCAAAACACAAAAAATATTGTAATAAAATAATTTTGTTTTTTTTTGTTCTTTCTAGCAATCATTATTACATCCACTGTATATTGTTCCATGATTTATTATTTAATAAATGATCGATTAATGAATTTGATTTTGTTCTTGTATAAAATAAATAGGCTTGTAAAATTTTTGGTAAATAATTCAATTGCGGAATTATTTTTAACATATTTGTTTGTTGACGTTCACAATAAAGTTGACTATGATGACGAATTTTTAAACGGCATATATGTTTAAGTGTATACATTAGTCTTGAACGTGATTTTCGCTCAATAATATGGTAATAATGTGTACCAAATAATGAACGTAATTGTTGTTTATCATGTAATCGAATGATGTCATCAACATATGGTAATGACATAAGATGTTCAAATAAAATCGGATCATAAACAAAATCTTGATCATGAAACCATAGTTGCATGTAAGCTAAAACACTTGTCATCGATGAGGGACGGTCATAAGTATTAATGCGTAATATTGCTTTTGTATATGAGTTAAATAAGGCACGTTTTATTTGATTATTTGATGCTAAACGGCAACAAACAGATATTACATGAAATAATGTATAAGAAAAATGATTTTTCAAAGGAGAATGTGTTAATTCAATTGTATCATGAAGAAAATTTATTGGACAGAAATTTTCTAAACAATAATAAATAATTGGTATATGTTCATTCAATAAGGCATAATGAAAAGCAAGTCGATTTGGAAGAATTGAAAAATCAATTGAAATATGAGAAAAAAGATTTTCAATTGTTTTTATTGTTGAATCATATTGATCAGGATGAAATAACCATGTAGATATATGTGATAAGGCTAATAACGGTGTTATTTGTTGTTCAGAATTCATATATGAGCAAGAACAATTGTTTGGTATTGGAAATACTAAAGGACCTATTGTTGTTATTGTTGATTGTGAAGAAAATGTACAATAACGATCGAGATTTCGTAAGAAATCTGATGAATTTGTTTTATTTAAATCCACTAGAATGAAAAAAAAAGTTTTCATTAATCAAAATTTCATTTTGACTATTTAATAACGTCAACGCATTGGTTTTTTTGAACCATAAAGAATCTTGCTTATCTACTTAGACAGGTAAAATAGTTTGAACAATCTCTTACAATTATTAAACGTTGTATAATCTCGATTAATCATTATTGTATTTGGATTAAAGCCAAAATTGACAAGAATTTGGACAATATCATAAAATGATTTTGTACAAGCATAAATAAGTGGTTCAACAATATCCAATTTTATCTGTAATGTTGCTTTTTTAACTATTGCTTCAACGATTGTTTTATCACCGGTTTGAACAGCAAGTAAAAATGGATAAGTAGAACCATAATCATACATTGCATATATATTTGAATTTTTATTGATTAATTTTAATGCATATTGTTTATGACGTGAATGATCAGATGTTGTTATATTTTTATTTGTTTGACATAAACGACGTAAACAAATGTTTAATGGATGATCAAGAGAATAGAGTAAATAACTATTTGTTTTATGACTTGTTTTTGTTGTTTCATAACGATTCCAACCAAGTCGATTAACATCACAATAATGTTGAAGTAATAAACTAGTATAATCATAGATATTATCATAAGCAAGACTAATACATAATGGATTGAGACCTATTCGAAATAAAGTATGGAAAATTTTACTTTTTAAAAACTGATGAAAAAATATCGAGTAATTATTGAAAGGATCAAAATACGATGTAATCCATTGAAGAAGAATTAGTTTTAAGAGTGTAGTAGTTCGATTGTAATTCAAAAGTTTCTTGTCTCTATTTTATTTATTTAAATGTATTAATTTGTTAGACAATAATGTGTTGAATTGTTATTTGATTTACATCTTTTTTGTTTTTTTATAAAATAATCATACGTGTATTACAACTTTGAAACAGCGAGTGACTTCAAAAATGATTCGACTATACGGCAGGATAATAAATTTTTCAAGAACACAAATTCATCTACGAAAAGATAATTTTCTTTTTCTGAAAAAAAGTCATGAAACTTTCAAGATGAATCTTTCTTATATTGCTTTCGAACGATACAACATCAGAAACAAAATTTTAATATCCTTATCTATGAGATTTTTACTATTAACTATTTAGAAAAGATCTGAAAACTAATTTCAATAGATTAAACCAATTTTCTGAAAATCAAGACTTCTAAAAATAGCTCTTAGACGAAGAATAAATTCATGTAAACATTTCTATTCGATATGGTTAAAATGTTCAAATTGCTTAATTCATAGTAATTTCTAACAACACAATATATATATAAAACATCTGTTCGAAATTTTTCAGAAAAATAAAGTATAGTTCAGTAAACAGAAATCGGAGACGTTTGATTTTGTGTGAAATATTTACACTATCGAAAACATTTATTTTTTATACAGCTTTTAATCAAATCTAAGAAACTTTTGATTTGAAATTTTAGCTTTCTCCAATGATTATATTCTATCGAATACTCTTCTACTATCAGAAAAATTTGAAATTTTCAAGCCAGTTAGATCTTGACGCGTAGAACAAAAGTTATCATAGACTCAAAATTTCTGAATGCTGTCTTCTATGTGATACTGAGGTTACAATGAATCTCCCGTCGATCAGAGAAACGGAGGTGTTTCTGCATATTTTTTTCATGAAAAAAATTGGTGTGAGAACAATGCAAAACAATGTATAGTTTTCGATAATTTGATTTCTTCTTGAATATTTTAATGTTTAAAAACAATTATTGAATCTCAAAATGATAGATATTACTTCAGACTATATAATGGTCATTAAAAAAAAAATAAAAATTTTAGGTCATAAAAGGAAGATAAAGTAGTGTCCTTAAATAAGAAAAGTTATCATACCAAGATTAGGATTACAATCAGGTCTTGTTAAAAGATATTGAACAATAAAATAACGTTCTTGATTATTAAATGATGTATCAAAACAATTTTCTGTAGCACCTAAAATAGCTCCATGTAAACATGTTTCACATGATGTTGTTAATTGATTTATATCACAATGTTTTGATTTAATCAAATATTTGACAAGTTTTAAATGATTTTCACGACAAGCATCTATTAAAATAAAGAAATACTTGTTATAAATCAACAAAAATTATTATTATTTACGATAGAGAGGAAATTGATAACGTTGCATATCATCTGTATCACTTTTACAATGTTTACAACCTAATTGAACACGATCATTTGGATTAATATGTCCATAATCAATAAGATATTCTACAATAGTAGAATAACCACGTTTAACTGCTAAACATAATGAAACAACTTCTGTATGTTGTCCTATTTGTCCATAATTATGATAATGAATTAATTCTTTAACTAAATTAAAATTATCATTTGATACAGCCATATATAACATACTATCATTAGCAAGTATAGAAGAAAAAAGACTTGTTTCTATATAATAATTTTGAATTTCATTATTATTTTTTATTAAATGTGTAAATATTGATTTATAATCAGCAGGTAAAAAAGATGGTGATGCACCATGTGATAATAATTTACGTGCTTTATAGAGATCATTTTCATGTATAGCAACATATAATTTTTCATTTAATGTTAAATAACCAAATAAAGATGATAAAATAAGATCATGTAAATGTACATAACAATAACGATAAAATGATCGATATTGTTTAAATAACCAAGTAAATAATGACGAAAGTCGAGATTGAGATTGAGATCGAGATTGAGATAATGAAATAAATGATGGATCGAATTCAGGCTGAAGAAAAAAAATAGAAATAATATTGTAAGAAACATGAGTTTTGTTGTATTGATTTTTGCAATGGATTTTCGAGAGCATGTGTTTACGTTAAACTCAGTCCATATACTGATTGTAGTGTTCTGCGTGATTGAGAGTTTTGGTCACGATCACGAATGTAAGATGATCGTGAATTCCGATCACGAATTTTTTTTCCAACCATAATCACGATCACGAAGAAAACTCCTTTATCATTCACGAGCACGATCACGATCACACGTGATCGTAAATCGTGATCGTGATTCACGCAGAACACTAACTGATTGACGTGATTCATACGTCCATACATTATCAGGTGAGGTCTGTATGTTAAGTAAATAAATACCTTTCGAGTAGTTGTTGAAATTCAGTACGAAGAAATTCATGTGATTCGATTCAATGAAAAATATTTTCAATAAATAACTGATTATTTATTTTAATCTTTTTTTTTTTGTTTGTTTGTTTTTTTCATAAATACTTACCAATTTTGCAACCCTCATATATGGCCAAAAGTCTCGATTATCCATATTTATAATTTATCTAGAAATAAAAATACTAAAATAATTCATACAATTTTTTATTTTTAAATTTATATTTTATTCTAATTCTATATAACTAGTATGATAACGAATAAGGTGATTTGTAGGAAGAAATGTTCTACTTGTTATTTATTATTAACATTTGAGTGATCAATCTTAGAAAAGACACGCCACATTTTCTATTTAAAGTAGACAACGATTCTTTCATCCTATTATTATGAAACATGGTCTCTAGCAATATTAAATTGTAGAATAAAGAAATTCCGATCTTTATTTAAAAAATGCTTTCATGAATGAATGTTAAGTTTATCAGTTGTTTATAGTAGTTAACTGTTTGTGTTTTATACTTCAATCTGTAAAGAAATACATTAAATTTTTGTTAACATTTTCTTTATATTTCAAACAATTCATTATTTACATCAAAGGATTAGTTCTCATTAATTCAACTTTAACAGAAATCAAATTAGGAAAACAAAAACAAAAACAAAAACAAAGAAGTTCAATAATTTTATCCATTACTAATTGTATGAAGCATATATATGGTTTCATATTTCAGTTATATTCAAATTAGTGTTAATCATTCTATCTCGAATGCTTTAGTCTACAAAATGTATTCTTCTAAAATTGAAAATCATATCTAATATTTACTAAGTTAATCAGACAAAAAGAATTTTATGAGAAAATTATCATATGTAAAAAAACTCTCTGATCGACATGACATGTAGATCATCTTCATTGACATGTAAGATCAATGTGTGCCTTGAGTATCAATAAACAAGGCCTAGATCAGTATAATAAAGTGATTGACATTGAATTTTATGAAAGCAAGCTTCAAATAACATTATTTATATGGAGTTCTTGCAGAACTAGAAATCTAATTTTTTTTTATATATATAAAATGACTCTCAAAAACAAATGGTAATAGTATTTTTTGTTTTACCAACATATCTTAATCTATTGAAAGTAATTTTATTATCTAAAACAACAATGGTAGAATAATCTGATGAAATTATTTCTGTCATAAACAAGAAAGTTTTAGTTACACTTTGTTTTTTTGTTGAATTCAAGGTTACACAGAGTTGCCAGATCGAAAAAAGTTATGAATCAGAATTTTGACTATGAAAATTTGCAAAGTATTTATTTGATATTTAAATACATATATATTGCCTTTTTTTTGTTGAAATATGTTTTGCTCTATTAGCATTTTATGTGAAAATTGTCAATGACATTTTTTTTTCTTTCTTCTTTAACTTTATTTATATGAGACTCCTCGGATTTAATCATTGCCGACTGAATCTGATTCAATTTAACACGTTAGAATTATCATATGAAAAAGATCCTTCTTAAACTTAAAACTCAGTTTATATTGATGAGATTGTCTATTCAAATGGCTTCTTTTAATCATGCAGTCTATTCAGTTTTGTTTAGAAAGGCTTTCGATTCAAGAGAGTGTGTACTGTTAGTAATCTTAAAGCTCTGTACTATATAATAATTACAATAGTATAATGAAGGTATATTAATTGCTGAAAAGAGTTAATTTCGAAGTTATATCAATTCGGAAAATTGGAAACCATTCAAAAAAAAAATATACAAGCTCGAAATTTTTTCCTGTCATTTCAAAAGATCTAGCAACTCTAAAGCTACAATATAATATCAACGTATGTTTCTATAATAAAGCCTATATGTTGATTTGCTTTTTTTCTCAATTATAAAAATCGTTGCTACATTTTTCTGTCCGTTATAGTTTGTGTACAAAAATAATTCGTTAACCATCATAGGAACAGTAGAGAACTGCATCATGTCTGGAAAAATCTTCTGGGCTTGATCAAAGAATTATGAGTTTATTCCATCATCTCGAATACTGATCCGTTATTCGAACATGCATTTTGTAGAGAAAATGTTTGCTCTTTCAGTCTATGTAAATAGAAATACACTACAACCATTCATAGCCGAAATTTCTTAAAAAAGGTCCCGATCCGGTTTTATTTAGTTCAATAATTTGGTCATAAAAAGAGTATTATCTATGAAGGAGCATACAGATTGAAAGACCAAACATTTCTTTACAACACGTATAAGCAACTAATGCATCAGTACTACATAGAATAGGATGGCTTATAATCCTTTGGTCGGATTCAGAAAAATTTCTTGATCTGATGTAGTTCTCTAATGGACAGTCTAACATTTAAATCGAAATATCTTTCGAAGAAAAGAACTTCTTTTCTTACTTGCATAGATCAATGATTTATCAGGTATCTAAAATTGAACTATTCTATGTAGTCCATTAAACAAAAAAAAACAAATACTTGTTAAAAACATCTACAAGAAATAATTAAATAGTTGAAGAATATCTTTACATTGAAAATTTTAATATAATACTTGCTATCTAATTCATATTGAACTATTAACTTATTAATTATTCATTTCGTTAAGTCATACACCTGGTAAAACAACTTTGTTCGACTACAACTAATTGATATAATACGAAGACTGAAATTCCCATGACAAAATTAATGAATGTTTCTTATTGTTTTTTTTTTTTTGATAACAATTATAAAAAAAGAAACAAGAAATTTCATCATGCCCAATTATTCAATAAATTTTTATTACAAAAGAAATTTCTATTGATCGAAATGAGCTTTTTTATTCGTTTTCTTTTTGTTTCACTCTGAATTTGTTTTCTTGTAATATAAATATACATAAAGAATGCATAATAATTCAGAAGAAAAAGAAAAGAATTTAACAAAAAAAAAAAAAAAAACAAAAACAAAAGAAGTCCTATGTATCATTAATAGAGAACACTATGAAAAAACAAACTTCACCAGAAAAACAGATAAATAGGACATGCATGATTTGTTTCTTTCGCAAGTTAAACAAAAGAAGAGAAAAAAAAAGCACACGAAAGAAATAAAGCTGAAAGCAATATTGACAAGATCATTTTTAGTCGTACATTGAAAAAAGAAAGACAAAAGGGATAAATAATATTCAGTTATAAAAGAAAATCATACACATATATTCAGATCAAGATCTTATACTATGCAATTCATTGTTATTATTTGTTATTGAAGAATTATCATCATCATCACTCGTTCCCGAACGATATGATGATGCATTCAATAATCTAAAAAATATAAAGTTTTATTAATTAGATTTCAATAAAAAGAAAAGAATTCATATGTATCTGATAGATATTATTTACCTACTGCTGTGCAAAGTAACCTGATCTGTATTGGATTGACTATCCGATAGTAATGTGTTACCAGTTGGACCCCCTAGAGTAGAAATCATTAAATAACTAAAAAAAGTAATCAGAGTTGTCTTTGAATATATATTATTATTCTTCTTTTAAAATTCGAAATTCATTAAAAAGAGATCCTATTTCTTCTTTTTAGATCTGAAAATTTCAAGTTGTTTTTCACTTTTTGACCTTTTTCATTCATTGTACAACTTCAAATATCCTCTAATTTGTAAATATGTATTGACAATTAAAATTCAATTTTTCACACTGAAAGCACGTAAAAAAAAACTAGGAGAATTCCATTTTAATTTTCCTTGTGTTTGTTTTTAAATAGAATACTCAAAATTTTCCCAATTTTTTTCCTGGCATGCATTAGAGCCGATAGGAATGAAATTTTTCTCGTAAAATCTTCGAATAAATCCAGACGCATATTTTTCTTTTTTTTTCCTGAAAAATAATTGACTGATGAATTTTTACAAAAAAAATCAAGACCCATTCAAAACAGATGATTTTTTTTTGCAGATCTCCAGTATTTTGGCTCTTCTTACGAGAGAATGTGTCTATGTGTCAAATCGCTTTTGAATCGCGACTATATGCATTATATAGTTTCTAATGATCTATAAATATCCTGAAGCATTCAAGTTAATAGCTTATTACTGTCGAGATACTATGTTTTTATGGTATGTTTAGCAGAATGTCGTGATCCGTCCCAGAAAAACTGGGTGTCGAATTTTGACTTGAAGCTTTGCATAGAAATACACCTTAATAAGGATGATTTATTGTAAAAGTTGTAGATCTTTTGATTGCTTCTATTCTAAAATAAGGCTATGGTAAAAACCATGTTGTTCACACCGGTTCATACACAACAGAAAAATTCGATGTTCTTATTTTAGAGTAGGTGCAATCAAAAGATCTGAAACTTTTATAATAAACTATTCTAATTAACACCTGTTTCTATGAAAAGTTTCAAGTCAAAACTTAAAACTCAATTTTCTGGATGTTTCTGAGAGGAATCACGGTATTCTAAAACTGTAGTATCTCGAAGCAATATTTAGAATATTTATAGCTCATTAGAACCTACATGATGAAAATTGTCGCAATTCAAAAGCAATTTGACACTAAGAAACGTTCTTTAATAAGCTGGCAATTTGATATTTTGTGAAAATATGAGAAAACACGCACTTGAAGTTTTTTGCATAGATGTCACAAAAGTAAAATTTCAGTTTACTTTCTCAATCAATGATTTTACAAATTATCGAAAAATTTACAGATATTAATTGTACATACCTTTACGAAATACTTTATATGAAAGAAATCTGACAAAACGATCACCATAATGGCTTGGATTACAAACAGATATTTCTTCCTATAAATATTATTCATATTGATTTGCTTAAATTTTCTTTTTTAGAAAAAAATCTATTCAACATACTCGCGTCACTAATGTAGATTTAAAAGCATGTTCAAGTTTTTTACGAAGTCGATAATTTTGTAGAATATCAATAATACCAACATATAATAATAATAAATCACCATTTTGATTTACAGCTGGTATACCAGCCCTATATTACACAACAAACAAATAAATAAATAAATACATAAATAAATATTTGAATTTTTCCCCTTCACAAAAAAAAAAAAAAAAAATAACAACCAAAAATAATTAGCTTAAGTATTTTCCAATATCCAATCGATCTCATAGCTAACATAGAATGCATTATTTTTCCACATATAGTTATACAAAGCATAAATT